GATTTTTTTAAAGTGTAACATCGGTATGTAGTAAGTGTAACAACATAACGATGTTACACTTTAAAAAAATCTTTTTTGTTGTTACACTTTGAAAAAATTCGATTTTGTTGTTTCATTTCAATAAATTTTTTATTTTTGTTTCACTTATATGTGTTGTGAATAGAAGTTGCGTTTTCATTCTCGGACATTCATTTAATTTCGATAGTCTTCCAATGATGAGTTTGATGATGCTGATGTCAGCGTGTACTTTTAGCTTTATTTCAATGTTCATTATTTTGTTTCAATGTTCATTATTATCATACAGTTAGAGGAAAATTTTAAAATCAAATAAATAAATAAAAAGATACGATGATTTTTTATTGATATACACTGAGAAAACTGAGTTGTTTTTACGTAGCAAAATGTTTGAAAATGTCAAATTCCAACACATGTTGGGTTTTTCGCAACAAATATTTTTTCCATATTGACTCAAGTATTTGTCAAATTAGACACCAACTCCCTTACATCGTGTCTAATGAAAATTGGCGCCTAATTTGAAAATTAGATCTCTTTTTGTTCTCCATTTTTTAATTGATCACATGTTTGGTCAAACGAATGATTCAATAGTAAGCGACTCTAGTGTATACCATTGGTAGTGTAGTGCCAAAGTTTCCACCAAATGAAACGATTCCAACGATCGATGCAATGTCAGTTGGATCGGGAAAACATGCAAGGGTCCTCCTGAATCAAACAGCATCGCGCGCCAGGAGATCAAATTTTTTCAACGATTCCTTCACTTTACAAAAAGTTTTTTTTTCAATGCTTAGGTTTACTATATATACTGTCGAATTTCGATTTTAAATTTAAAATTTCAATTTCACTCACTTTGGGCTTTATTTAAATGTGACTTTATCGGCTTTAAACTAAACTTAATCAACGTTCATTGACTTTTATGTTTCCATAGATCAGTTAACAATAGACATTTTTGTACAAACTTCATTCAAGAAGATGGTTTTAATAATTCTTAAAAATGACCACGCGATCCAAAATCTGCTAAATCGTTCCAACAATTTACTCTGTCTTTATTCTATTCATACCGATAACCGAGCTAACGGTTTGTTTAATTTATAAAAAAAAATTGTTTTGGTGTGGAATACCAGTTTTTTGCGTCATCATCATTCAATCTAAGATAAAGAGGATAAATCCAATGCAAATCTTCGATGGCTAACAGATGGACGATATAATTCTAGTTTGTGTCTACCGTTCAACCGAATACGTGTGTTATGTATTTTACTCTTTGTTGCATTTGTGTTTGATACGTGTGAATGGTGCATAGCAGTTAGACCGGTTTTAACCGGCACTCATTTTTATGCAAAGATGAATCGAAGAGCAGTATCATGATACGGTAGATTATTTTTGCATCTGAACCATGATAATTTCAACAATACAGCATTCACAACGATTCAAAGTGACTCATTTGATGGTCCAACGATAAAAAGTTTTGAACTAATCAAAAAATCAAAAGTCAAATTTAAAATAGATTCAAAATGTGTTTCATTTATTCTTTCTTTCAAAGTTATTTGTTTTATTTTTGAATATTCCGTGATTATGAGTACTATTATTATTGAAACTGAATGAAAATGCATCTTTGAGATTTATTTCAAGAATTTTTTATTTTTTATCGTAAAAGAAACGGAAATTCGAAAATCCATTAAATAAATGAAATGCAGAAAAAGTACGGTAACGAACGAAACAGCACCAACGATGGATGCAATGTCTGTTTTGTCGGAGAACGCTTGCATAGGACCACCAGAATCACCTCGACAACCATCTCTTCCTGCAGAATAAAATGAATATATTTTTGAAAATGAAACCATTTTTATTCATATTAATTTCTGTGGAAACAGATGAATGAAGCGAAATATATATATATATATTGAGCTTACGTTCATAAGCAGGGCCGAAGAAAATATTTATTTAAATAAAAAATATTTGATTAAATATTTTGGCGTTTTTTGAGAAAAAAATATTTATTTAAATAAAATATTTAAGTAAATATTTGGCCGTTTTTGCCTCTCAAAATCAATATTTTGAACAAAAATTCATTGGTCAAGTGATTTTAAATCATATTCTTTTCATACCACAAAGTCGATATGACACGAATATACTCAAATATAAAAGTTGCAGTCAAAACAAGTCAGCGCTATTGTTATTGTTTATGCCGAATTTAATTTGAAATGAATGAGATAAGAAGTACGTGAATTACAGATCGAATTGATTTCCCACTTGTAATATGTATTGAGTATTTTTGTTGTATAAGTTTTGATGTTTCGTTTGAACTCGCAAAATTCAGGATGCAGGCGATGCAAAATCGATAGGAAAGGCTCAAACCGCTATCGCAAAGCCGAAAAATTTGAAACGAGAATTGACTTTTATCAAGAACAACTTTTCTTGCATTGTCACAAACATCACAAATTATTGAAGCTCTTGAAACATTTGAATTTGTTCGCAACAATTTACAACAAATTCGTGGGAAATCGGGATTTCTTGACAAAGCTCGCAACAAGGGGTTTTCAGAAAATGAAAGAAATCTCAGTAATTTTGAGCACAGGAAAGAGCAACAAAAATGATGAATTTGTTGAATCATTAACACCGAACGAATTGAGTGCATTTAAATTAGCGCCAATAATATCTTGTGATGTCGAACGAACATTTTCGCGCCATAGGGCTGTATTGAGCGACAATCGTCGATCATTGTACAAAAATTTGAAAAAAATTGTTGTCGTATTTTGTAACCAGTTGCAATAGTGAAAAAGATATATCAATAAATAATTTATTCCAATAAATTCTTGAAAAAAGTATTGATTTTCATCTTAAATATTTTATATTTATCATAAATATTTTTCCGTTTTTTGAGATTTAGCCTAAATATTTCAGGCCTTTTTCTGAGATATTTAAATAAATATTTCGCCTGTTTAGCGTAAATATTTTCTTCGGCCCTGTTCATAAGATATACTGCCCCAGCCGGTAACAGTAAGGTTATCGTCTGATAACTCATCACCTAAATCCGTTTGAAAATGCGCCGGTCGAATGTTATCTGTGAATTCATCTCGTTCGGCATGTTGAAGATGTGCAATAGCATCCTGAATTGTGATATCAATCGGATTGGCGTCATTTGTAAGCAGAGTCACCTAATTGATAGTAGTAAGAGAGGAATGTAAAAATATTCTTATTAAAGTGAAATTCAAGTTTATAAACTTGTTCCAATGAAAAGTGATCAGAAAAGGGATCTCTTCCACAGTCATAAGTAAATATCCTATTAAGGTCTTTATAATTACTAGCATATGAAAAAATTGTCATTTCATTCCCTGGACTAAAGTTAGAATATTCTCAAAAAATTACCATCAATTGAAATTCTCCAAGATTATTTTGAATCAACCATGCATTCCAGTGTACATCTGCCGGTAGTGGTGAGTATATCTCAAACGCTGAAATAGTATTATAGTAACCACATCACCAATAAAGTCTACATAGTAATGCGTCATTCGATTTGATTTGTGATTCATTCAAAGTAATTACCGGATTCGGCTTCATTGCCTGCGATTAGTTTGGTGTCAGACCCTAGGGGCTTCTATGTCGGTTTGGCATTCGAATTTTTATTCCCAAATTCGCGCTCAGTGCCATGCATTCGCAACGCTGCCATATGATTTCTATGTAAACATTCGCACTCGCATTCGTATAGCAGTCGTATTTCGCTGTTCTCGAACGTTCTCACGAATGCAAGTGCGAATGTTTACATAGAAATCATACGGCAGCGTTGCGAATGCATGCACAAACACGAATGAACGAATGAATTATGTAGTCACAAGTTCGCTGTCATAGCCGCATTCGTCGCATTCGCAAACATTCGAATTTTTGTTCTGTAATGCGAATGCATTCGCAGCATTCGCGAGAGATAAATCCCCTTAGGTCAGACCTATATGACGTTGGTTTTGTTATTGATTGGCCTGGCGTCATGCTATCAATTGGTAGCGAATCATTTTTATTACTAATAGTTCAAACTAACATACAGACAGAACACTGTCTGTGGAATTGTGTTCAAGGGACAAATACGGTATTTGAAACGCCATTTCAATGCATTGAGCCATGCAAAATGTGACTAAATTCAAAATGAAAACTAAATCCGTTAATCTCTTATACAGAATTTAAGTGCTTACATGAAAATGATGACAGTAATGGGGACAAAGTTGGTATTTGCTTGCGGGTACGTTGTATTTCGGTTTGGTGATGATATTTTTAAAGCGCCCTGCCAACAAACAATATCAAGATAACTGATACGAAAACAGATTGATGAAATTTCACTCTATAAACCGGAAAATTACAATAAATGAACACGAACAGCCAACAATGTTATCGTATCCCAAGCTTTTTTCTATTGATTCAAAACGAGTAGTATTTTTATGAGAACCTTTGTTGCCACCACTTAATATGCTTGAGCTTTCCACTGAAAATGGTTGGAAAAATTCATTAAGAGAAATTTTTTACGTCATAAAGTACATTTGGCCGCCGGCGGCCAAGAGTGATTTTCGTCGGC